TAAGTGACGTTTCATGTCAACAATCTCAGAATTCTTGATGCCAATCTTTTCATCCCTATCCTGGATTTCCCCCATGAACATGCATGATCTCTCATATTGTTGAACACCACTAGCCAATTTCAATTTTCGCTCACTCTCTAGTTCAGATCGTAGAGTTCGGACCTCAGCATTGGTGAGGGACGACGCCCCTACATCCGCAACTTCAGCCAATCTTTCTTTCAATAACATGTTTTCTTGTAAGCATTCATGAACTTCATGATCTAGATCCTGAACCCTAATTTGAGCAATTTTGGCTTGATTACGTAGATCTTCAACAAGCATCTCATCGGGGCCACGACCGTCGGTCGTAGTACCCTGAGTCAACGATCTCCGCAACTTCGTGTTCTGCAACTTGATCTCATCCTTTAACTCGCAGTTCATCTCCTGCTCATTGGTGTAGAGCTCTTCATAATGCTCGGCCCTCGCGATCGAATTCAAGCTGGCCTGTGATTCAAGCCTCAGGTGTGATATCGCTTCGGCCTCTTGGTTCCTGTATGATGCAATTCTTTTGACGGTATCATGTTCGGTGTTTCGATGCTTCAGATCACTTTCTAATTTGGCCTGATTTGCCTCGAAAACCTTCTTTCTAGATTCTCTAGTGATCTCGTCAATACTGCTTTCATACAGCTCGGCCTGTTTACGAGACTGAACCAAAGCTTCACTCAATAGTTGATTCCGTTCAGATAGTTCATGAACTGCAATCGACTGTTGTTGGCTAATCACTTCAAGTTGATTGCTAGAGAAGGATGCCATTTCGGATCGATTACGATATTCCATGATTGAGTTCTGGAAATCTGTTTGCATTTCCTGACCTTCATTGTATAGTCGATTGGCAATATCGGTGGTTAAGACATTAGTTTGATGAAGTTGTTGAAGTCTTGCCTCCGTATTACCCAATAGTCCTTGAAGGTGATGTACTTCATCCTTGTACTCCTCCTGGATCTCCATACCACGTTGGTGGATCCGTCGTGCACCATGTTCCATTAGGGCACCTCGGCGCTCAAGGTCTTGGATGCGTATTGTTGCACCTTCATCTTCCTGAGATGCTACCATTAATTCTGCTTGATATTCTGCAACCTCATTCGCGGAACGTGACAATCTATGATTGAGTGCACTGACTTCCTCAAACACATTCTGGTTGTGTTCCTGAAGATACTCGGTGAATCTAATCTCGATGTCATGAATCAGTTGATCTCTAGATGCGGCGTATGCTTCCATTTGGTTCAACTGACTACGTAGGGATTGACATTGTGCCCGTAGTTCTTCTATCATGGCAATAGGTTCACTAGCCACAGAAGTATCCGTTGATCTCCTCTTAACACGACTATCCCCGGTCCTCTCACCAACTCGGTCGGTCACGGCCCTGGTGGATCTGTCCCTAGGAGTAGTTCGTCCTCGAGATGGTCGATGCCCTTGGCGGACAACATCACTCCGAGGACTGTTTCGAGAAGATCTTGGTGTACTTTGGGTGGATATCCTTCGTCTGTTTGTCGTTACTTGCCATCCGGACTGTGTAGTTCGGGTAGAGCGTATCCCACCACTGTCTGCCGTATCACCAGGGGAAGACTGATTGACCTCCTCGACCGGCATGGCAGTGTTCTCGTTGAAGGTAAACTGCGTGGTGCGTGAATCTCCGCTACCGCCTTGCATCTTTGCGATGATGAGCTGATTGGTCCTTTGCGTCCTCAATCAATTGCTCAGACGGCCCGGCTACCAGCACGCAGGTACCACTCTCCCGACGGGAGAAGTGAGCCCTACGGCTGATAACCTGTGAACAATTTTACCCTTGTTCTAGGTGTTGCCAAATGTAGTTTCGATACCTGCTTTGCTGGTTAACCGAGTCCCGTTATGGCGCGGCAGCGACAGCACGATTTGTTTTCCTTCAAGGGGCGCTTGAGCCACAAAGGGCGTTTGAATGTATGTTGGTACGTGCATATGATACATGCACCTAGCGCCTGGTTCCCTTTGACAAATAACATATATATAATATAATATACATATACATATATATACATATATTATTGTAAAAAAATATATATATATAATTTTATATATATATTATATAATTATATAAATATATTAATGTATACTATAATATATATATAGTATAATAAATATTAAATGTAATATAATAAATATAATATATATATACATATATAATATATTTTTAACAATATGTAATATAAATAATACATAATATATAAAATATATAGAATGTATATAATATACAAATTGTATATAATATATGTATAATATGATATATATATATATATTATATTATATCTGTGTGTGTGCACTCGTTTGCGCATACTTGTACTCCATCGTTGTGCGTCCAAATCTCTGTCGACTATGCCACACACACCAAGCCACGTGACAAGAATCCGCCCACTGAGTTGCCCGGACCGAAGGCCGGACACCAACACTGGCCCCTGAGGGAGACAACGTGGAGACAATGTGGAGGCAATGCTCACGCAACGTGCTCCTGTGATCTGTGCTCCATATTTTTCTCGGATGGTCTTGTATATTCTTGTATCACAACACTGCCCTAGTGATCCTAGATATGTGAGATATATTTTGATATTTTTCGAGATGTTTGAAATTCTAACCATTTGTAGCGTTTGTATAGATGTTCCATGATTTTCCATGATTTTCCGGTGTCTTTTGTGCACTAGGTCCGAGTCCAGCCATCTCTCAGTTGTGCCTGGCTGCGCCATGCGGCCATGGGCACCTGGCCCCCAGGGCCTGGCCCGGGGCCCGGCCGCATCATGGTCCCCGCAGCCTCCGCTTGAGACCAGGGGTAAGTCATCATATACTGCGATTATCCTGCCAAACTGCTAATCATACTATATATATATAATTATATATGATACAGATTGATACAGTACTATGTGCGTCTATATGTGATCACTTGTCATAAGAAGTTCAGTTCGCAAACGTCCGAGTTACAGGCGAATGTCGATTGTTAATCATGTGTACTATTGCGGTAGCAGCAGCAGTTGGCAGGTGAGAACAGTAGATCACAGTAACAGTCCGGGAACGAAATGTAGTTTTTGAGCATAATGCCTATGCCGGATTGGATCTGGAGGGTGCCAAATGCAGCGTAATGGCTGCACGAAAAACAGAGATGGGTTGCAGAAGCTAGAGAAGAACTAGCTCAGAGAAAAACCCAGTGGAAAAAGAGAGGTAGCCCTCAGAGCAGAAGCAAGTCAGAGAAGAAGTAGAGTAGTTAAGAGGCAGCTCAGGGAATAAGTAGCTGGGAGAAGAGGTACCTCAGCCAAGAGGTTCAGCGAAGAGGTAGCTCAGCGAAGAGGTGGCTCAGTGAAGCAACTCAGATAAGTAGCTCATTCATTCGTTCGTTCATTCGTTGCTTCTTTCGTTGTTTCACTCTTTCACTGATTCATTTATCAGTGGTTCGTTCATTGATTCACTAATTCATTGATTCATGCCTTCATTGATTGATTCATCCTTTCATTGACTGATTCATTGATTCATTTGTTGGTTGGTTCATTCATTCGTTCATTCCTTTTTATTTCTTTATTTCTTTCTTTCTTTCTTTCTTTTCTTTCTTTCTTTCTTTCTTTCGTTCTTTCTTTCTTTCTTTCTTTCTTTTCTTTCTTTCTTTCTGTCTTTCTTTCTTTCAGTTCTTTCGTTCTTTCTTTCTTTCTTTCATTATTTCTTTCTATCCATTCTTCCATTCGTCCATTCATTCATTTATTCATTCATTCATTCCTTCCTTCATGCATTCATTCATTTCAATCCCATTAGCATGTTCATGTTCATGTTCATTGTTCATATTCATCTTCTTATCATTTAATTTTCATGTTATTTCTTTTCATGTCATATAGTTCATGTCCTTTCATTTTACATCATGTCATTTCATGTCATGGCATTTCGTAACATTTGGTTTGCATTTCATTTCATGTCACTTTGCTTCGTTTTATTTCAACCCTTCATTGCTTGTTTTGCCATGTTTCACTCATTCATTGATTGCTCACTCAGTCATTGAGTCATTGGTTGTTTCATGCCTTCGTCATTTCTTTCGTGGGCTCATTCATTCATTGATTCGTTCACTTCATCTCATTGCATCTCATTTCATTTCATGACCATTCATTTCATTCATTCCATTCCGTTCGATTCCATTCCAATTCCATTTCAATTCGATTTCAATTTCATTCCGAATCATGAGTTAGCCCCTCACTCGTTCATTCATACATTCATTCACTCATTCATTCATATCCCTTTCACTCATTGATTCATTCGCTCAGCCATTCGTGCACTGATTCTTTCACATCATCTCATTGGCATCTCAGTAACCATTTGCTCATTCGTTGTGCACCTCACAACCTCAACATTTCATTGCTGCTGCCTCTCACAAACATTCCTATAGACCGCGCGTTTCTTATAGCCTCCGCCCCGGCGCGGCCGGGCATTATCTAGTAGGTATATGATTATATATATATACACATCATTATCATAGATTCATCATGATTCATCCATATTCCACCTGTAAGGACCTGCTGCTTCAAGATGTCTCTGACATTTTGCACATCTCACATCTGCCCTTGAACTCCGCCCTTGGTCACCTGTCAGAGGACATCAGCCACCGGGCGGAAACCCCAGGGTCACCTTTCCACTGTCCAAGCCAAAGGGCCAAAGGGCCAAAGGTTAACTTTAAGATACTTTAAGATACTTTAAGCACATTGAGATAGATTGACATAGATTGAGATAGCTGCGGGAGGCCCTTCAAGTGCTGGGAGTCCAACATGTTTCCACTCAATTTCCCCTGCAACGAAGAATAAAAAAAAGTGATGCAGAGTCTACCTGAGGCGAAACATCCACAATCAAAGTGCAAAAAGGCAACAATCATCTCCTTGTTTTCTGGGATTGAACCTTGGGGCTGTTCCGATGAAGGAGGAATTCCCATCACAACCTGACTTCGACAGCAATCACAGCAATGGACATCAGCTGCCCTCTTTTTTCTCCGCAGGTGCTGCCATCTTGTCCTCACGGAGGCTGACCTAAAACTGGGCGCCGTCAAATCTTGAACCATGAGCCATCGAACAAAATTACGAATAACACACCTCCTCTGTTGGCTTTCTGCCTTGGCATGGCATAGTTTCAGCTTTGCTTCGTTGCTCGTGTCTCCTTCCCGCCTCAGAATGTCATCTGCACCCACTGCCACTAGACGCAGCGCTTCCAGTATGGTGTGAGAAGCCTCAGCGCTACTTGATCTTGTGATGGGCTTGGACAGTTGACAATGTTGGCAATCACGGTTCAACATGTTTCACTGTTTAACTATGTTAGTTTAACTGCTTCCCAGTTGGTTGTGCCCCCTGTCCCGCTTCCCTCCGGTCAATCTTCCCGGCGCTTGTTCCTAAGAGCTGATGACATTACATGACATGTATCAACTCCAGCCACATATGCCCAATGCCTTCTTCATCCAACCCTGAATTCCAGGTGAAATACCCTATGTGATCCTATATGAATGGACATGACGTGACATGGTTGGCACTTATCAGCAAAGACCTGTGCATATCAGGAAAACCTTGTATTCGATTAAAACGTAATTAAGAGAGTGCGAACAGAAATTAACCACCAAACTCATCATGAAAGAACTTCCAACTCTTGCCTTCCAGAACCACTTTGCGCTATGTTTCATGGCCCATGTTTTCTCTTCAGCCAGCCTCCAAGGTCTCCGCATATGCAACCAGCAAAGCCACATCCGGGCGCAGCTGCGCTTTGCGCATCCCCAGCATGAGGTCTTCAACCTGGAAGGACATGGCGGCGAAACATTCAATCTCACATGTCACATGACTCATCATTGTGGGCGTGAATGCTCCTGAAGTGAGAAGAACTGGTAAAGATGTGGCAAAATTATGGCAAACGGGCTGCATGTTTTTGCCAAGTAGGCTATTAGGACCCGCTACGAACACTTCGAATTCCAACCAGGTTCTTCAAGGAGTTGCCATTCCCCGCACCTGGCGTCCTCGGCCACGGCTCGTTGCAGTGATTGCTGTGCAGTAGGACACCACGTCAAGCTGCACAGCCCACCGGCCGGTGCTGTGCAGGAGTTGGCACAGCCTAGCCCATTGCGGAGGAGGTACGGCTGCCAGCTGCACATTCAACACCTGCAAGGCAGGTGTAAAACGGTGTAAACCGTGTGGCACATATTGCATTCATAATGCATTCACAGTGCATTCCAGGGTGTTTCTTCAAGAATAGTATCTCAATGTTTCTTAATGTTGTTTCCACTGGGTATGCACGTGGAGCATGCATGTGCGCGTGTGCAAATCAATGTGTTCCTCTTTTTGTATGTAATCAAGTCACGTAGGAATTCTCAGCACGCACCCATTGATGATAATAATAATAATAGGAATAATAATAGCAATAGTAATAATGGATACATATATATGTGTATGTGTGTATGTCTGTATGTATGTATGTATGTATGTATGTATGTATGTCTGTCTGTCTGTCTGTCTGTCTGTCTGTATGTATGTATGTATGCATGCATGCATGCATGCATGCATGTATGTATGTATGTATCTCTATCTATCTATCTATCTATCGTATCTATCTATCTATCTATCTATCTATCGATCGATCGATCGATCGATCGATCTATCTATCTATCTATCTATCTATCGATCGATCCATCTATCTATCTATCTATCTATCTATCTATCTATCTTACCTCTCTCACCTTATCTTACCTTATCTTACCTTATCTTATCTTTATCCTATCCTATCCACCCATCTATCTATCTGTGTGCTTCTATGTTCGTCCCATGGGCACTGGCAGCACGCTTTCAATGATTTGTGCACTAATATATTTACGGTAATATATCTAATTACTATATCTAACATATATATATATATATATATGTAATACAAGAAACAGAAAAAAAAATAGGGTGACAATTCTTGAAATCTCACAGAGATCGAGAGGTCTCTCGTTTCAATAGGAAAAGAAAGGCCGTGTCATCATCGCAGTACACCCTGTTCACACCACACCGCTGAGTCTGGAAGGAGGCCGGAGAGCTCTGCAGCGCGCAACACATTCAATGCTTGTGACCATCTGCCGGCCTGATGCATTGACCCTTGAAACTTCGTGTGGAAGGTATTGACATCAGTATTGAAAGGAAGGCCTGTCAAAAAAGGAAACATGTCTGGCCTGTCCAGCCTGTCCGCGACTGAAAGTAGCGGACAGCGAAATAAAACATAACACATCCTATAGTCCTAATCAAACACTCCCCAAAGCGCCGGCTGATACTGCAGCATCCTTTCTTGCAGAGCGAAGAGCCGCATCACCTTTGGTGTGCTCACTACATCGGCTTTGCCGATACATCTGTCACGCTCACTCCAGTAGCTCCAAAATTATTGTTCATGCCCAACATATCCGAACATAATGTCCAACTTGCTGCAGCGGACTGTCCAGTGTTGCTAATAAAGGAAAGAGTTCTGAGGCTCTTGTTCAATCCAGCGAAATCGCCGAAATCCTCAAAACGCCACTTCCACCACAGGATCCTCCTCCACAGGCTCCACAGCCTCCACAGGCTCCACGGGCTCCTCTACGCGCGCAAAGAGCTGGGCTGAGCCTTCACTGCTGAACGCAAAGCTCATGTTGCCACTGCCCGCAGTTAGCAAACCTCCACCATTCACGTCCCGATCCAGGAGCTGTTGCCTGGAGTCTGCAACTTGTTTATTCCGAATTCCCTTCAACTGCTCCATGTTACAAATTGTTACAATATTGAAGGGAAAAACTCATGGAAAATGTGGCGGCGGTCACGGCCGAACAAAGGTCTAGAGTCTAAAGGGTTCTAAACGAGTCATCAACCCTTTTCAACAGGGAGGGTCAAGTTATGTTTTCCGGGGGGTGCAGCCACGTATGGCCACGTATGACCACGTATGGCCACGTTCGGCCACGTTGCCCCAAAGCGCGAATTTTGATCTCAAAGCGATGCTTGCCGATGGCGTCGATCACTCGACGCAATCGAAACTCCTCGTTGGGATTGTAGCAGCGAGCTTTGGAGCAATCCTGGTCAGTTTGGTGAGACAAAAACATTTAGGCAATGATGGGGAAATTGGATGAGATCGGATGAACTTGCATTAAATCAGTCTACTTATGGTTGGTTTCTTTTTGTGAGCAGTTCTTATTGACCATCCGAGATAAACCTAGCCATTCTGGGTTCCTCAGAGTCGTAAGTGTGTTTGGACTTTTGTCCTGGGTTGGAGGAATGGGTTGGATACACCAACAACTGGATACAATTAGATCATTAGGAATCTGTCCGACGATCGATGTGACAGTGCCAGATGAGAGTGTGAGTACCTGGGTATCATTGCAAAATATTGCAAAATGGAGAATAGAATGGATAACCCAAATTTCGGGAGAAAAAAAGAACACAGCACCACATGGCCATGATTGGGATCTTCACTTCAGCGTGGATTTCGTGCGTTGGATTCTTCAACCCTCGTTTCTAGTTTATGGAGTGTGTGAGGCAATCATGTCCCGCCACTCGGAACCAACCAAAAATAGATTAATTAAATATATATATATATATATATGTGTGAATCACCTCGTCCTTGACAGTGACCTTGTTGTTCTTGTTGATCTAAATGATGCCCTCAACCGTCAAATATGGCTGCGAGCAGCTCTCTTTTCTCAGCGGCGTGTGGCGTCTTGAGCCAGGTCGGCGCGGCGGGCGGAGCTGATCAAAAGGGTGCTGTACAAGACTGTGACAGCAAACTGGTTCTACCTGCATTCCAATCACACCCCCCATGCCCGGCGTCCCCAGGTCGCGGTAGCTTTACCTACGACCGGGGCGCCGAGCACAGGATCGCGCGTGTGAGATTCAAAAGGAAATTGGAATGTACAATCGCTCTCCCGCCAATTATTCGCCTCTTTGCATTTACATGCAATTGTTCTGTTTAGGGTTCGCGTACTAGCCGTGGTAGATCTACCCTCGGCGTTCCGCTTGCCCCATTTTGAATTAATTCGCAGTTCTTAGGCCCTTGAAAATTATCCTGTTGCATTAGGAAGCCTTCGTATCCTAAATGCATAGGACTCATATGAATTAGCCCGGCACTCAGACTCCTCTCATAGGATCTCCTCATTGATATAGACCCAGAGAAGTTCACCTCTTGCGCCGTTTCTTGCCAGTGTCGGTCTCCTTGGTGCTCGCCGAAGCCTGTTCTTCTGCGGGTTGATCATCACCAAGTGCTCGAACATATTGCCTGGCAATTTCACGTTCTGCAGGATCAAGGGATCTGAGACACGTAGCCATCTGTGCTGCGCTCTGTTGTACAGCTTTGAGCTTTCCTTGCCAAACTTTGCGTAGTTGCTGAGGTAGCTCCAGGCCGATCTTGTTGAGCGTCACGAGGATGGCAAATGTTCTGCACCTTTCAGTCACTGCACATGCTAGTTCTACAGGATCAATATGAACATGATCGTCCCGTTGAGGTGGTGTGACACGAAAATAGTCGTAGGAACGTACGGCAAATGCACCGGAGATAATCTTCCTGACGAAGTCGGACGATTCCCGTCGTGCTTCTGCTTGCCGTTCGTCGTCCTCATCCATGTTGTCGGCGACCTTGGCGTAGATGAGTTGAGGAGTGATGCCAATCTGGATCAAGTACTTCATGATCTTGCAAAGTACTCGAATGCCGTTCACTCCCTTCAAGTAGGTTTCCAAATCACGTCCGCCAATCTTCCCATTCTTTGCGTTCGCATGGAATGAGGCGATCAGCTGCGCTTCTGTTGGTTCCTTCAATTCGCCGTTTGCAGTTTCGCCCACGTATGGTATGTATCCGTCAAATTCAGGAATGAGATTGAGTCTCAAAACGTGGTCATGATACTGCTTGGCTGGTGCCACTGAAGTCCATAGATGAAATAGCCGAAATCGATCCTTGAGATAGCTCAGAATCATGCAGTCCATCGCGCGAGCTGTGCTGTCGATGGCGTCCTCATTCTGGGGCGATATCGATACATTGAATAAGTGAAGCTTGGATGATCCTTGTTGTCCACATAGGCAATCGCATCCTTGCTTCTCGGCGCTCTTCATCTTGGTCTTGTTCTTTGGCAACCTTCTCATCTTCTTCTTCTTGTTGCTCTTTGGTATTGTCACCGAATACAACCTTCTGATCAGGTACATTGCGTCGACGTTCTTCTTCATGCTTGACGTCCTCGTGGCTCGACTTGGCATCGGTCATGTCAATGTCATCATCCGGCGCCTCTTCAGTATTCTTCTTCGACTCCCTGACCAGTCTGTCGATCTCCTCCTGGTCCTCGTTCTCCATCTCGACGTCATCGTCGTCAGCACCTTGGCCATCTCCGCTTTCTTGTCTTTCTCTTTCAGGCATTCCAGGGGCAGTGCTTTCATCTTTCTCTGCTTCTTTCTCCCCCCAGCTGACAAGCGTTCCATGGCACCTGATGCAGATGGATAGAATGTTTGGAGTCTCAGTAAGGCATGCTGGGCATATCAAGTGTCCAGCTTCTCCCGGAGTGTAGTTCTCGGAAATGAACGTCACGATGTCATTCCTCAGCTCACTGTCTGGGCTGAGGGCTCCACTAAGTGATTCAAGTTTTGCAACATCCTCAACGAACTTGTCGTAGAACGGAATGTTGTCCTCGCTGTCGATGTCATCCAGCAAGGCCTTGGAGACACGAAGCACCGTGTTTGCCGTTGCAATCTCCTTTGGTTCTTGACATGATCTTACCAATTGAAACTTTCCAGAATCAACCACCAGTCGTTCCCAATCATAGTTGTTGTTCTGATACCATGCTGCGATCACCTCGGAGAAGGGAATGTTCCCGTTCACCACCATTTGGCCAGATGCGTTGATCATGATTCCAAGACTCATGAGTCGATGAACGCTGAATGTGAGGACCATGCGAGGTTGTCCTAGGTGTGTCAATTGTCCTCCTAGGATCTCCCTATATCGCTTGTCCCATGGCACAAATGGATTGAGGAAAACTTGTGTCCGTCCTCCTCGGTGTCCTCCAGGTCGTAGACCCTCCTTGATGATGCCGACCACGTTCTTGAACTCGGTAACATGATGGCAAAACCAAATATCGTCTGCGATCCTTGTTGTGATCGGGTGACAAATCTTGCTATAGTCAAGGCGAAAATCTGATCCACGTGCTGAAAATCCTCCAGGCGAACGCGCAGCAATTGGTGCTAGGAAGGCTTCACCTCGTTGTGCAATGAGATCGTGGATGTCATCACCGACTCCCATGACCTTCCTGAGGTAATCATCGGGCTTGTCGAAGGTAGAGTCAAGAACAATGCATAGGAATTGGATGCGGATCTTGTTCTTCTCTTGAAACTCTGACCAAACAGTCTTGATCATGGTCTTGATGCGCTCCGCTCGGAAGTCGACATCAATCAGTCCGTCGTCCTCCGTCTTGACCTGTTCGTGACCGAAGATCCATGGGTGATGCAGGAATTCCATAATGTCCACCCATCCGGCTTCGTCACATCTAAGTCCGGAGAACGTTGTTATCCTTCTGCCTGAAGTTCTTTCCCACACTTCTCTTCGTCCAATGTGGTGTCTCAGGGCCTTGTTGAAGTAGTAACTGTACGTCTTCTCCCAATCCTCCATGAAGACACGGTTGGCTCTGGATTCGGTCGGTAGAGGATACTCTACTCCTGGTCCGACAAAGCGTTCGGAGTAAAACTTGCCGCCGTTGACCGGAAGAATCTTGAGCTTCCCGATGTCCGTGCCGATGCTGAGCTTCCTGTACATCCTGTGATCGGAGTAAGGAACAGCCGACTTCATTTCTTTACAAGTCATGGTGACGCCCCTTTGGCTTGCCATGTCGACAATGTCGTTCAGCTCGCCTTTCGACCAGGGGCCCTTCTCTTCGGCTTTCACTCCATTGATGCTCTTTTCTCCATGGGCACGGTCTCCAATGACTGAAAGTGGGATTGCTTGAAGGTACATGTACTCTCCAGCCCTGGTAGCTTTGTAGTTCTCCTGACGGAATCGTTGCTCCTCGTCATCATCTCTTTTGGGAGCATCATCCTTCTCCACATCGTCGCCCTGAAGTTTCTTCCTCAAGTTGATCAGTGCAGACTTTACTGGATCATTGCCTTGTTTAGGACATTCGTAGTTGGGATGACCACTTTCACCACATTTCAGGCAGACGTTGTTGTCGTCCGCCAGGGCAAAGAGCGCGTTGATGGCCTCGACAATGGCGCCCTTGTCCTGAGAGATCTGGAACTCCTCCTCAGGATTCGATGGAGATTTAGGCGCTTCGTGCATGTCCGGGGTAGTCGACGAACCTGCCCCTTCAGCACTAGCTCCCGCTCCTCCGGTCGTCGGTCCTGGGGTGGTCGACGTACCATCCCCGGTCCTCTGACCTTCGGTCCCCATATCGTCGTCATTGGTGTCATCTGTCTTGGACCTTTTATAGTTCTCGTTGATGACGCTGATCTCCTTGTCCTCAATCAGGCATATGTACTGCAATCCATGGTACATCGGGATGTCACGCAGGATTTGGTTCACCAATGTCTCCTCATAGTTGGTAGGTTCGGTCGGTGATCCTTGATCCACCCCTCTTTGTGTTTGGAGTTGTGGTAGATCTTGTCGTTCCATGGAAGATGTTGATGGATGCTTCCAGGCCTGCAAGAAGCTCACCTGGATCGGCCTTTGTCTCCATGAATGTGATCTGTGATTTCGTCATGTTGGCCACATCCAACATTCCAAGCCACATTTCGACCACGTCTCCACATTTCTCGGCCGTTGCATCAGCATATCCCATGACATCCGCGAAATCATCTCCGAGCACCATCTTGAGGTAGTCCTTGTAGAAGACATTCCCATAATCCTTGGTGACACGATATGCAAATCGTTCATGGGCATCATTGCCTTCACCCAAAGTGAACTCCTCTCGGATGACACCGTATTGTCTTCCGCGTTTCCCAACGAAGATCTGCTTGACTCGATCTCTGGGAACTCTGACCATTCCAAAGTGCGACAGCGCCTTCATGAGGATCTCACCGTGCTCACATCCTTTGTTGCCCACCATCGATTTGG